TTGCGAAGTCCAGTTCCACAGTGAAAACCCTTCAGATGCGTTGCAAGAGGCTACTGCCCCCTCCTCCTCCAGAAGTGGTTAGGTGTCTGGTCACGGTTTGCTCTTGCTCCTCCTGAGCAGGCACGTGCACTTGTCCCCCACAACCCAGGACTCTTAGCTGCTGAGTCATCTTTCCAGCCCCCATTTTGGACTTTAAATGCAACAGTTTGGAGGAAAAAATTAGATTAATCCTGTCTTGCCTTCCCCACACTAGGGAGTTGGTGGCACTGGGCTTGCCTGTATCTCAGAGTTGGACCATTTTGGTAGGTTGTTTTTAAGATCGGCTCTAGCAGAGGCTGGGCCCCTTAGGACTCTGAACTCAGCAGCAGCATCTGCTTCCCATCTCCTGGTTTCTTCCTAGACCTGCAAATCGATAGGTCTTAATTTGGTAGTTTCTGCATGGAGCCAGAGCTTTGCTGTGACATCAAGACTTCCCCCATGCTTTGATGGGACCTTGTGGGATCAGAGCCACTGTCAGGGGTGTGGTGGCGGAGGGGACTGACGTCCTAGATTCTGTAATATGTCACCCACCCAGGCAAGGCTATAGTTGGTTAAGACTGTCTGGAGCCCTTCAGGTCTTGAAAAGTCATATTTGAGGCTTCTTACTCCTTCTGGCAGGCTTGTGCCTTCCCAGTTTGGAAAGGAGGCGATATCACATGTCCTTGGTTCTTGGTTCCAAAAACTGAATGTGTCTTCAAGTCCCTCCCATTCTCCTTCTACTACCTTGCTTTGCTCCTCCTTTTTTCCCAGTCATATTGCAGAGCCTGAGAGGTTTTATAGATGCTTCCCACTTGGAGTTTCTTGCAATGATTTCATACAGAGACTTTCCATATTTATAGAGAAGCTTCTAGAGATCTAAATCATCAATAACAACTAAAACATCTTTTTGAGCCCTTAAGATGGCTGGCAAGGTCTAGGACCTTTGATATTAAAAATAAAGCACTGTACCCAGCAAGTGGGTATCTGCTATAGGCTGTGTCTGCCAGCATGGTCGGAGCCAGGTGGGAACGGACAGGGAAGAGCAGGGGAGGCGGGAGGGAGAAATGCTCCAGAGTGATACTGGATGAACTGGGATCATACACCGACCTGTGAGCATGTTCATCAGGTTCCAGGTGGCACCAGCTGTTCTAAAATGAATATTCTGCCAGTTTCCCCAGAGAACACAAGGCTCTCATGCACAACGTGTGGATGCGTGTATGTCTGTGGTGCTCATATGATGTGGATGCATGCATGTCTGTGGTACTCACATGATGTGGATGCATGCATGTCTGTGGTACTCACATGATGTGGATGCGTGTATGTCTGT